GTGGGTAAAAACAAATAAAGATTTTTAACAGTTATCAAGGGGAGGGAGATGGGTTTAAAGTTGTATCAATTGTATCAAATTTCATTTTATCATTGTTTTTTTTACTTTTGGTGATTTCAAGCAAAACGACCCCTTTTCTTAGTAATGTTGTCTGTTTTTATATTATTCATACTTTAAAATATCTCATGACTTGTGATCAAAAGGATTTTTTTGCTCCATATTTTATGCTTTGTTTATATTCTTGATTTCTTATTGCTTATTTTATTTAAAGGAATATTCAATTTTATTAATGTTTTTTGCATTAAAATGAAAAAAAGAGCATAAATAAACTGGTGAATTTTGTCATAATGTTACAGCTTACTCCTACTTAATTTAATCTCATTTCTTTCTTCATATAATTCTCATTTAGTTGAGTATATGTTGACAAATGAAATCAAGTACAAATCGTGCTTAAATCAATACCGTTAAGGGATTAAATCAATATTTTGCATTCTTTAATCAATCTTATTTTTATCTCAAATCAAGAATGTTTTTGATTCTAAATCAAATAGAAACTTCTCAAAATAAGTACATTGTAAGATCATTTTGACCCAAAAAAGTCTTAAACTTAGATCTTTCATACTTAACCGATCCACAGTTGAATCAAGTATTTTGTGCTTGGTTTAAGAAAAAACGTACTTAACGTCCTTCAATAGGATATTTAAGACCAGAATAGCGACCAGGAATGATTGGGCTGCGAACACTGTCCTAAGGGATGACGTGATCTCAATCTACAATGATGGTTCAAAACCAGAAAGAGGCACGGGCTCGGGAATTTTCTCCGAAAACATGATAGCAACACAATCTTTCAGGAAGAGGTATTTGCCATCGTTATAGACGCGAGAAGAACTGAATCTTGAAAATTCGACTATACCTACCTACTTGGACAGACTTGCAATCAATCAAGTCTCTTAACTCCAACGTTACAAAGTCGAAATGTCTTCTCAATTGTATTGGCTCAATTGTATATGCTTCACTAGTTAACTTGATCTTTATTTATTAGAAATACCGGCTGATTCTCACGGGGACCGCAAGAAACACATCCTATTGCAATTATACTACGTTGATAAACTTTTATGTTTTAATGAACATTTCTTTGTTGCTATTCGTTCGCGAGCATAACAATTTCATGTTAGGCTCATGTTATTTCATAAAAATGTTTGCTGGGTTGTGTTTTATATTTTTGATTTAAAATAAAATGAATATTGATGTTAGAGACTTTCTTTTAAATACAATTTCATTTTAATTCTAGTCAACTGTTTAATTATTTAAAGCTCAAGAAAAGTATGAAATCAAATAAATAAAAAGAAATAATAAAATATTTAGTCAGGGTATGATAATGACGAGGATATAAGTGATTTTAAAGCAAAAATATTACAAATTTGAACACTTAGAGGTATTGTATATTTGCAAGGTCGGTTTTTTGATTCGAGTAAATTTACTTAGGTGTAGCTAACTGCAAGCTTAAGTGTTATCTTTTAAGTTTAGTTTATGTTTTTTAATTGTTTTTATACCCATGTCTGTCTGTCTGTCTGCTTGTCCGCCTGTCTGTCTGTCTGTTTGTCTGTCACACCTGCCTTTCGTCTGTCTGCTGTCTGTCTATCTATCTATCTATCTATCTATCTATCTATCTATCTATCTATCTATCTATCTCTATCTATCTATCTATCTATCTATCTATCTATCTATCTATCTATCTATCTATCTATCTCTATCTATCTATCTATCTATCTATCTATCTATCTATCTCTATCTATCTATCTATCTATCTATCTATCTATCTATCTATCTATCTATCTATCTATCTATCTATCTATCTATCTATCTATCTATCTATCTATCTATCTCTATCTATCTATCTATCTATCTATCTATCTATCTATCTATCTATCTATCTATCTATCTATCTATCTATCTATCTATCTACTATCTATCTATCTATCTATCTATCTATCTATCTATCTATCTATCTATCTATCTATCTATCTATCTATCTATATCTATCTATCTATCTATCTATCTATCTATCTATCTATCTATCTATCTATCTATCTATCTATCTCTCTATCTATCTATCTATCTATCTATCTATCTATCTATCTATCTATCTATCTATCTATCTATCTATCTATCTATCTATCTATCTATCATCTACCTATCTATCTATCTATCTCTATCTCTCTATCTATCTATCTCTCTCTATCTAATCTATCTATCTATCTATCTATCTATCTATCTATCTATCTACTATCTATCTATCTATCTATCTATCTATCTATCTATCTATCTCTCTATCTATCTATCTATCTACTATCTATCTATCTATCTATCTATCTATCGATCTATCTATCTATCTATCTATCTACTATCTATCTATCTATCTATCTATCTATCTATCTCTATCTATCTATCTACTATCTATCTATCTATCTATCTATCTATCTATCTATCTATCTATCTTATCTATCTATCTATCTATCTATCTATCTATCTATCTATCTATCTATCTATCTATCTATCTATCTATCTATCTATCTATCTATCTATCTATCTATCTATCTATCTCTATCTATCTCTATCTATCTATCTATCTATCTATCTATCTATCTATCTATCTATCTATCTATCTATCTATCTATCTATCTATCTATCTATATATCTATCTATCTATCTATCTATCTATCTATCTATCTATTCTATCTATCTATCTCTATCTATCTATCTATCTATCTATCTATCTATCTATCTATCTATCTATCTATCTATCTATCTATCTACCTATATATCTATCTGTCTGTCTGTCTGTCACACCTGCCTTTCGGTGGGTTTAAACCACAGACACTACGAGCATGATCTCTCTAATAACGTCATAGCCGAATTGCAAATCTCTGGTTAGTGGTAAAACGTGTTAGCAACTTTGAAATATTCTCTGCTTCTCTCATTTACTACTTATCTAATTGCACAATTATATAAATAACTTTATAATTAGAGTAAATAGAAAAAGAAAACAAACAAAAATACTACTTAAGTTTTACGTTTATACTCTTCGACACTTATGCAGGATAATTGTGCCGGAAATAGACTTAAAATCTACCACTAGAAAACCCTAATAGCTTTAGACTCAAACAAACAAACATACATTTACAATTGTATCTCTTTTAACACGGATGTTTTAAGTGCTTAAGAGTTAAACTACAAAAGAAATGTTAGCTGCCAGAAGAAAGGAGGTTGAAATATTTTAGCTCGTTAAAACGTTAAAACGACAAATGTTGGCAATTAAATGTAGTAGCAATAGCAACATTTAAAAAAAAAGTAAACAACATGTTTCACAGCTTTCTTTAGTTGTTTAGTAGTTGTTTGTGTTAGTGAGTAAAAACATAAAAAAAGGATAATTTATTTTATAATAAACAACAACAACAAGAGGAACACATTTAACTAAACAATAAACCGCTAATGAACGTTTTTTGTTTCTGTCAGAGGAAATAACGTGCAAAAGTGTTTCTTTTTCCGTTCTAGCTTTTCTTAAGCTCAAGTAGGAAATGTGTATATGTGTTAACTCATACATAATTACTTACATAGCAGTTGTGTTAATTGCATTTTCTAGCAATATAAATAATAGAAAAAAAAACCATAGTGACGATATTTGAAGCCTTGAATTCTATCCATAATTCCCTACAAAATAAGAGATTCAAAACAAATGTCTACTTTTTATTTAACTTACACACACTGTGGGTTTTCTCGTTAGCAGCTTTTAAATGTCCAATAAATTTTCATTTTAATCAGCACAATTTTCATATATTCTCTTAATAAACAAATTAGCAACACTAAATAAAGGTTTTAGCAAAACAAAAAACTGAACAATCTGAAACTTGATATCTCTGATTAAAATTTACATGTTATTTTGCATAAGACTTTGAACAAAACTAACTGACAAACTTGTGCTAAACAAAATTTTGAGAATTAATTGAGGATGTGTGTTTTTGTGTGTGTGTTGTAAAATTAGCAACAATTGACGTCAAATTTGAATAAAGTTTAATTGAAGACAATTGTTTATTAAAATCAGGTAAAATCAAGAAGATCGCCTGGCTGTTGTTATTTTTAAATATAAGTGTGTCTAAATTAAAATGAAATTATTTTTTTTATAAATAAATTTAATAATTACACAGGCCAACGATGAAAATACAAAAAAAAAAATTTAAATATGTTTCATTAATCCCAGTGTTATTTGGTGTGCTGATTCCGAATATGGAAATAACAACTGAGAGTGTTATATTCGGCTGTGTCGCATCTCATATACCCACCATCCAAACGTATGCCGTAAAAGGAATGCTTCCCAATATATTTTATTCAATTTTTAAACCGTGAGCGTATGAGTAATATGAAGAGGACCTTCATATTTTTAAATAAGGAAACCTCGTATTTTAATAACCAAAACTCTTTCCTAACGGGAACCTTTTATAGGGGCTAGGGTTACTTATGAACCGATCTACATACGATTTGGTAGAGAGATTTTGGTTCTCGAGGAACTTACTTGTGTCAAATTTTATCGCTTTACTCGTATTTTTTAAGCAGTAATGAGCGTTAAAGTCATTTTCTGAAGGGGACCTTGTATGGGTGGTAGGGTCAACTATGGACCGATCTAAATTTTGGTAGAGAGATTTGGGCTCGCATAAAACTTATCTTTATCGAGGTTTGTCACTATATTCATATTTTTAAGCCAGTAATGAGGGTTATAGTCATTTTCAGAAGAGGACCTTATATGGGGGATAGGGTCATTTATGGGCCGATATTTGGTAGAGAGGTTTTGGCTCGCAAGAAACTTACGTGTGTAGCATTTCATCGCTTTACTCGCATTTTTAAGCCAGTAATGAGCGTTAAAGCCATTTTCTGAAGGGGGCCTCATATGGGGGTCAATTATGGACCGATCCACATAAAAGTTGGTAGGGAGATTTTGGCTCGCG